GTGGACAGAGTGCAGCCTTTACTTCTTATTGGGTCTGATTTCCCTCATCTACTCATCCCTAAGCAACCAGTAATAGCTGGCCCTCCTGGGAGCCCCCTAGCAGTGTGCACTCCTCTTGGTTGGACATTACAAGGCCCAGCCAACTTCAGTCCTGTTTCTGCTGACCACCCACACTGCTACTTCACCACGTCTCCCAACTCAGAGCTCCAGCGCCATGTAGAACGTCTGTGGGAAGTTGACATCTCGCCTTATGTGAACATAAAGACTGCCACGCGTTCTAAAGAGGATCAACAGGCTGTGGACCTGTTAGAGCAACGCACCACTAAAGTGGAAGTGGATGGAGTGACTAGATATGCTACTCCACTTCTCAGGCGCAAGGATAGTCCCCTCCTCTGGGCATCAAAGAACACTTTGCTCCCACAGCTACGTAGTACTGAACGTCGTCTAGCTAAAGATCCAGCTCTGGCAGATACCTACTGTCAAGAAATCCATAAACTTGAACAGTTAGGTTATGCCAAACCCCTTCCTTCAGCTACAGTAGACAGCTCCCAGGAGTCATGGTATCTGCCTCACCATGTTGTCCACCATAATGGAAAGGCAAGAATTGTCTACAACTGTTCCTACCAACACAACGGACACTGTCTAAACAGCCAGCTCCTGCCCGGGCCGACCCTAGGTCCTTCACTTCTCGGCGTACTTCTTCTGTTCCGAGAACACAGTGTGGCTGTCAGCGGTGACATCAAAGCAATGTTCCACCAAGTTCGCTTACTACCATAAGACAAACCGCTGCTCCGTTTCTTGTGGAGAGGTATGAAGAGAGAGGAGGAACCGACTGTATATGAGTGGCAGGTTCTGCCATTTGGAACAACGTGCAGTCCTTGCTGTGCAACATATGCCCTCCAGAGGCATGTGAAGGACAACAGTAAGGGGCATGAAGACATCCTGCATACAGTTGAAAGCGCATTTTATGTGGACAACTGTCTAACAAGCATCACCACTGCTGATAAAGCTAAATCCCTAGTTGACCGACTGCGCAGTCTGCTCTCTGCTGGAGGGTTCGATATAAGGCAGTGGGCCAGCAACGATCCAACTGTTTTGGAACACCTTCCTGCTGAAGCCAAAGCGGCTAGTTCCGAGCTGTGGCTTTCCCAATCCCGACAAGACCCAGAGGAACCAGCTTTAGGCCTACGTTGGAACATCCTCTCTGATCACCTCGGCTACAGACACCGACCGGTAGAGTATTCTCAGCCGACCCTGAGAAACATCTACAAGGTGATGGCCACGCAGTATGACCCACTGGGGTATCTTATCCCATTCACCACTCGAGCCAAGATCCTCATCCAGGACCTGTGGAAAGTGGGAGTCGACTGGGATGAGCAGATTCGACCCAAGGCTCTACTGGAAATATGGACACAATGGGAGAGTGAGCTGGTCTACCTCCCACAAGTGGAAATCCCAAGATGCTATGTTCCAGCAACCTTGGCCCCTGAAGTGCCTAACAGACAAGCGCACATCTTCTGCGATGCCTCCGAAAGAGCCTACGGAGCAGTCGAGTATATTCAAACTCCCGATAACCAGGGCAATGTTCACGTTGCATTTATGATGGCTAGATCTCGTGTTTGCCCTCGGAAACAGCTGTCAATGCCACGCCTTGAATTGTGCGCAGCTCTAGCCGGGGCTCAGCTGGCTAAGGTCACAATGACAGAGCTGTCATTCTCTCCCCAGCAGATAACACTATGGACCGACTCAACTACAGTGTTGACATGGCTGAAATCAGACTCAAGTCGATACAAGGTTTTAGTTGGAACGAGGGTTGCTGAAATTCAAGAACTTACCGAAGGGTCAACTTGGCGGTATGTCAGCACCTCTGATAATCCAGCAGATGACCTTACCCGCGGGAAGACACTCCATGAGCTCAGTCAGCCCAACCGGTGGAGTCAGGGTCCACAATTTCTTCACCAGCCTATTGACACCTGGCCAGAGCTACAAATGGAAGTAGCTCAGGAAGAAGATGAGGATGAGCAGCGCAAGACAGTGTTTTGTGCAGCAGCTACCTGTCCTTCTCATGAAGTGGATGTTACTAACATCGACAACTGGGATGACCTCGTTAGAGCCACTCATATGAGCCTTCACGGGGCAGCCAAAGACCTGGCAAGCCCCACCATGACAGCTGCAGATGTACAAGAAGCTGAACTACAGACCAGCTTCCAAACATTAGAAGCACCTATCCAAAAGCAGCTGGCTGGACAGAAAATAAAGTTCCGATTCAACCCGCCAGGTTCCCCTCATTTTGGGGGGACATGGGAACGGGAGATCAAGTCAGTGAAGGCAGCCCTTCGAGTGGTACTGCAGGACCAAACTGTCACAGAATCTGTTCTGCAGACAGTTTTGATTGAGGTGGAGGGAATTCTCAATGCGAAGCCACTGGGATATATATCCTCGGATGCTGCTGATCCAGACCCAGTCACCTCGAACTTACTACTCTTGGGACGTCGTGATGCATCGCTTCCACAAGCCATTTACGCTTCCAGTGAACTCCTGGGCAGACGGCGATGGCGACACAGCCAGGTCCTGGCAGACCACTTCTGGTCCAACTTTATTCGCTACCATCTTCCTAACCTACAGAAGCGACACAAGTGGCACAAGAATACAGAGAATCTTGCAGCTGGACAGGTTGTGATGGTGGTCGATTCACAACTGCCCAGGGCCCAGTGGCCGATCGGGAGGATTGTCAAGACATGTCCAGACTCAGACGGTCGAGTCAGGGCAGCTGAAGTGAGGATAAAGGGACAGACTTATCTTCGACCAGTTGTGCGCCTGGTGCGACTGCCAGCTTGGGAAGATGAAGATGACTCTGGCTGAACACCTGATAAGACTTTCCTCTAGTTTTCGAATTTATAACTAAATTCGGGGGCGGCTATGTCAGAAAGGGTTATAGTTATGGCAGTTTTACAAGATACATTTGTAAAGTTACCCCACTCTTATTTTGGTGGTCCAGTTTGTGACATCACTTCCTCTAGATAGTCACTTCCTGTAAAGCCGTTTCTACCATTTTGTCCAAGCTGTTGGTGATGGCAGACAGCCTCGTGTGCGTTCATGACTGATATGTAAGTTTGGCCAACCGTAGCACCTCTATGGATACATAAATAACCTATAAGTTCATTCAGTTTCCTTTATGTCTGTCTGGACATATTGTTTGGATTATTTAGAGGGAGTTCCTACAGTTTAATTGGTATCAGTTGCTATTCTTGCTTGTAGTCCTCATTTCACTTCTCTTAATTTGTGTTATGTGTGCTAAATACTGGTTTATTTGAGTTTTATTCCATTTACTCCATGTGTATCCATCCATGACGTCAGTTCAGTTGAGGTGTGGTATAATGCCAGGCTAATTGGCAGCATGGTTTAGTAGTGTGGTACTTGCAACAGCAGTACCTTGGTTTGACCACCAGAGGTCCCTGGAGATCATATAATTTGTCAGTGCCTCTGAGGCTGGAAGTCACAATATTTACTCTGTGTAACCCTTGAATGTGCATCATTTGGGAATATATTTGTTTTTGCTTAGTCTTAAACGTTGGCATATTTACGTCACCATTTGTACAGTCCTTTTACATCATTCTTTGTATTTATTTTCCAGACCACACGAAACCACAGAAATGTACAGATGTCCATACTTCAACTGTCATTAAATACGTAAAACTGTCTCTCCGTGCCCTGCTCTCTGACCGGAGCCCTTATCTTGAAGATACTGTCAGATCAGCAAATAACTTCCAGAGTTTCCACTCTATCACAATATGTATATTTCATATATTCTGTAAACAGGAATAATTGCTGGCCCTTTGACACAAAATGTATTGATTTAGAAATTACTAAAATATTTTGCATTAAGTATACAATTCACCAGACTAGTAAACTCATATTGACCATCCACTAATCTGGAAAGAATATGCTGTAAACACAAAAGCAGAAAAGCTTGTCTTTAGAAAAAAAGTTCAGACAAATGAAACAACCAGCAACAGCTTTTATTGGCCTTACAAAAACCTTCCAAACAAATAAATAATGTCCACACAATGCTACAGCCTCTTCAAAAGTTCAGATGAGTCCAGAGCTTTTCTGAGTTTCTCCGAGTATATGAGCAGTTCCATGGCATAGGACATCAGCTGCCTCTCACTAATGAGACAGAGATAAATAGCAATTAGTAAAAATGACATTCACACCTAGAGGCTGTCATAAACAATGTGAAAACAATACATATAGGCATTAGCACTGTTCTTGTGTTTGTAGAATACCTCCAGTCACACTGCCGTACATTTCTGTGGCTTTGTCTGTCAACATTCACGGACAGCTGAAAGCGCATGGATGGTTGCCTGAGGCATGAGGTGAACAAGAGGACATCTTTCATGTAGACGTTAGTCTGTCATGTTGCAGGTAACAAGATATTAACCATGAGTTATAGACTGACAACAGTAATGCTACAAAATATTTTCATGTGATACATAAACATTTTCAGAACGTACCTCTGGCAGAAGCACATCCATCATGAATGCCACTTGATTGTGACATCTGGTTGTCTGTGCTTCAACCAGGCTGGTCAAGAAGCCCATCACTCTGTCCAGCTGCTCATCCTCCTCAAAGAAAATGTCCACCCTGCCCTTTGATGAAGCCCAGGTGGATGACACTTTTCCTGCGATGATTGCCTGTAAATAGAGATATTTTTGGAGGATGCTCAAAGTAAATGTCCAAACACTAGGTTAGCAGAAAATTATTCAGTTAAATAATTCATGAGTCATGTTTTGACTGAAATTAGTCACAGTGTGTAAATTTAATTATAAATGTAAAACTCACTTCCAGATGTAGCAGTGGGCCTTTATCCTGAGTGATAAGAAGATCACTGCTGACTCTTCTTTGGTCTTCAGCTTGCTGAGCCCTTTCCTAAAATTAGATCAGAAACCATTTAGATGCTGAACAGAATTATTCTGGTTAAGCAGGTTAAATAAGATAAGTTGTTTCTTGGTCGTTTGCATGTCCTTACCACAAGCCTGTCGTAAGACACGTCTTTACTCAGGATCCAAACATCTCTGGTTGTGGTGACCACGTTGTGTTGGTCCATGCCGTCATTGTCCTTAATCAAGACACACAAAAACATCACTTCATGCACAGCAGTTAAAATTAATTTGTTGTCATGCAATAATCTTCACTCATATTCACCTGCTCTCTGGGTGGAAAGCTGTAGGGTGTATTAAAATACACACGGTCGGTGTCCTGTGGATTCAGAGGAACGCAAATGATTGTATCAGTTTGTTTTACTGTTATCCAAAGAGGACTGACATTTGCACTTATTATACCACCAGCATTGAAAGTTGACAACATATCAAACTTTCTGCTTTTTAAAATCAACAAATCAACCAAAACACATTGGAAAAGCTAAATACAACAACTGATAATTGTGGGACTGCTGCCGTCTCACAATCATTCCATCCCTGAAAGTGGTGACCTATTTTCAAACAGGCAGGAGTAAGGTCTTCACTGACCTTGGTGCTGCTTTCATGTTTTCTTTTTCTTTTTATCCTGAATACGAAACGTTACCGGTGTCAGACTAATATTTACTGGATACTATACACGCAACTACTTGTCAAAATAACTATAATACATGTAAATGTTGACATGTAAAAATATATCTGAATGGATTTTAAGGGAATTTTCTGTTACATGTTTTACCAAATTTTACACGTCTGAGCGCGACAATTTTTGGCCTACCACATTGCCGTCGTGAGTTTGCTGCTTGTTAGATGAGGAGTCATAAACGGTCAAATAAATAGCCTATTGTTACGTTTATTCTGGCCAAAAGGCTTGCATGTAGCCCATTAAAAATTATATAAAAAATATTTTGCGTCCATGACGTCTTCCCCCACTGCCAATAATGCTTAATTTTATATAAAAGTGTTTCAGAAAAAAATCACTAATGCGCTAATTATCAAACTAAGTCTTAAACGTTCAAATTTAAAGTAAAAAATCTTTGCAAGTTGTAAAAATATAAACCTGTCTTTACCTGAACCGTCATTTCCATCTGGTGTTGCAACACGCATGCGAGTTCTCTTGTCTTCGAACATGCAGGCGTCTTTTGTAGGGGCCATAGGGGCGTGTTTTGTCAGGGGCGTGGTTTGCCGGGGGCGTGGTTTGTCTGGGATGCGTCTGCAGCTAGGTATTATTGAGTCCTCCAGAAAAACTCCTGCCTGCTTCCGTCTTTTTCACCTCACAAGTAACTTTTTAACTAGCAGATCAAATTGATCTATTGACTGCAAAAAAGCGGAGTGTGCGCCGTGCCGCGCCGCGCGACTGAGCCAGTGACGAGTGCTGCAGCGCGAGCGCGTCCACACGTCATGCTCAAATACAGACAAAACTTACCAGAGAGAAAATGAACGGACACGAACGACTGTGTGTTAGTTATATATTTTTTGGTGACGCCACTTAGAAACTTAGAAATTGTTACTGTGGCCGTGTGCAGAACGCAGCTGGAGTTCATGAATAATCAGCGGTCTGCCTGCCGCTCTGCTCTAAAGAATCCCCGCTACGCTGAGTCCATATAAATAATATAATATAGGTAGAAACTGGATCTCTTTGTGCTCCTTCTGGGTGTGTAAGTTAAGGGCATCAGGGGAGCCTGACAACCTTTAAGGAGAACCAAGGTGCTCTCCTGTAATTTGAAACCAGTATCCAACTCCGAATCGGGGCTTGGATCGGGAAGTAAAGCCCGAGTCCCGATCAGTCTGAAACCACGGGATCGGGGCCGATTTCCGATCATGTGATTGGATCGGGAACTCCCTATCATCCACATAAAGCTGAGATGAGGTTCTCCTGCCACCAAACTCTTTTATTTTGAAGGTGCCGCTAACAGGATGTGATGTGTGGAGTAGGGTGACCAGGTGTCCCAGTTTACCCAGGACAGTCCCGATTTTGAGCCATTTGTCCTGTGTCCCCAAAGATTTTTACAAACCAATTATGTTGTCCCGATTTCACCCAGCCTTGGTCCCAAGTGTCCCGATTTTGAACTAATTGCTCATAGTTCACAGAACTAATTGTCACTGGGTTGTTTGTATGTCAATCAGAAAGTTGTCATAGTGACATTAGCTCAACTTTATGTCACATGTCTGTGTAACCTAATGCTCATTGGTTGATGCCAACGCCGTTGACGCGAGACGGCTCCTAAGTCCTGCGTAAAGACGAGTCACCAAGTCACTCGTTGTTCAGCATGCCTAAAAGATGGTCAAGACTAACAAAAGAGCTACTGGAACGACACAGCTTTCTCAGGAAGGTGCCAGGTGCAGCCTGCTGCAGACTGAACTGCATTGTGCTCTATGTGCGCTGCACATCCTACACCAACCAGACTGCTGGGAGTGGCCTGATCAAGTTTATGAAAAACATTGTTTTGTCCTCGTCTTGCTTTTCCTCCAAAGTTTGTATTGGTGTTGTCCGCACAAAAGCCGACCACTTTATCCACCAAAGCGAATGCAGACGGGCACCTGTAAACCTCATCCCACAGCAGGGTTGAGGTCTCACCTGGTGGTGATGTAAAGTCGAGCATCTTCACTCTGACCCCCTCGGTTATTTTGAAGTATCCATCAAAAAGACGGAGAAAGAGAAGAGCACAGCTGTCCACGCTGCACAGCACCTGTGTGATCTGCAGGAGAAACTTTTGGAGAGGAAGGCCGCCCTCTTCATGGGATTAAAGGTGAGTTTAAACATGTTCAAATTAAAAGTCATGTAAAAACAAGGCTCTGATATTAAAGCTTCATGAATTATTATTGGTGTTTTTTCAGGTGAAGAGCATTCTGGCTACCCAAGAGCGCCCTCAAGTGGAGGTGTTTAAGCAAAGCGTCCACACCTTCTATGAAGGTTGCATCTCATATCTGCAGGAGTGGAGCTCCTCATTTACTGACATGAAGTGCTTCTCTTGGACCCTGCTTGAAGATCCACCAGGTTGGGATGAGGTTGGGAGCTCCCTGAGGTGTGTCTCCTCAAAGCTGCCAAACGTTCACATCATTGAAACGGAGCTCTTTGACGAAGTTACTTCTGTCAAAACTTACACATCTGACAAGATTGGACAGTGGGACCGAGACATTAAACCAGCAGATGAGCGCTGGGCTGAAATCTTTACACATTTTAAGCATCAGAATGTCCCATTTAAAAACGTAGCCGTCATCTGCCAGTGTGCCATGTGCCTACCTGGCACGAACGCCTCTGTGGAACGCATTTTTTCTCTCATGAACAACACCTGGACCAGTGAGAGAAATCGTTTGGGACTGGACACTCTGAAGGCACTGCTCATTACTCGGGTGAGCTTTGATGACAGCTGCTCTGAGTTTCATGCCAGACTTGTTGACAACCACAGTCTGCTTAAAAACATTCACTCAGACATGAAATACTCTTAAAGAGTTACTGATACATTAAAGGGAACAGTAGGGCTGTTCATTTCGTGCAATATTTTTGTTTCTAAACAACTTGAAGTCAGTGAAATACTTTTTTTGTTCACAAAAGGGCTACATTTAATATTGCCCAGTGTGTTTCACAAATACAGTATTATTTTGAAAAAGAAAATAACAAAACATTGCACTAAAAAAAGAATGTCCTTATTTTTAATAGGATGTTCAAATGTTGTTCCATTTTGTACAATAAAAAGCAGTTAAGTCACCAGCAAGGATTTGTCAGTCTTTAATTTTGTGTAAAACTTTGGTGTCCCAGTTTTCAGTTTTTTGAATCTGGTCACCCTAGTGTGGAGTGTTAAGAGGGAAGAGAGTAGCTGGAGTGTGTAAAATGGAACTAATGGTGGCATTAAACACTGACCCTGATAGTTCACGGCTATCGTCCGCCCTTGAGTGAAAACAGCTTTACATCCTCTCTAGTCTCTCTTCCCATCTAACTCTTTATAAATAAACTGAACTGAACTAAGAACATCAGGAGGGATGAAATAATTTGTTCCTCCAGAGAACTGATTGTTGAATTCCAGTAACAGATGGATCAGTTTTCTCTTTGTCCCTAAAAACCTGCAGCTGTGTGATTCCAGCTAAATCTGCTCTGTTGATCGTTTCCCTCAGATCTTCAACAGTTTCTCTTTCCACTGTTATTAGTCTCATTCTGTCACCTTTTGACCTGAACCTGTGATCCACACCTTCATCTCTTCCTTGTTGTTGCTGGTCCAACTCCAGTCCAGTAGGTGGCGATAACGCGCCTTCACGCTGCCACATGACCGGAAGCTGCTATCAGAGCTAGCTCTTTGTTAGCTACCAGCGCTAGCTTGCTGTGCTGGTGTGTGAGGGGAACCTCTGAGGCTCTGCAGCAACAATGTCTTCAGCTCAGTCTCTGAGAGAGGTGATCAGAGAGCGGCTAACTGCTGCTGCTGCAGAAATCTTCTCCGAGTTTGAAAAAACCATCGTCCGCTACGAGGAAGAGATCGATCGTCAGCGCAGACTGCTGGAGATCAGCTGGAAACCACAGATCAACTTACACAGAATAGGTATGAAACAGCAGCGGGACTCATGTGGTTTTACTGAGGACACAATCTCAGGACAGTCTGCTTGGATCCGTTTGCTGTTCTGAAGCTTTTTGACACAACTGAGCTGAAATCAGTCTGCGGTAAACTTTGTTCCACTTTAGAGAAACAAATCAAGAACATTTCAGGGATTTTAGGAAGTTTTCATTTTCAGGAACTCCACTAAATCAGTTTAAAAGAGACAAACTTTAAAGACTTGGTGAACGTTTCCAGCTGATGTTCTACAATCAGAGACTTGTTAAACGAGTCAGTCTGATAGATACTGAGTCCACACACACACACACACACACACACACACACACACACACACACACACACACACACACACACACACACACACACACAGGTTAAGAGTTCATTGTTTTCTAAAACATCTTCAGATGCATCAGATGGTTCAAGTGAAGTGTGCTTTCTTATTGTCACATGACTCAGCTTTTTGTTTGGTCTGTTTGTCTGTCCAGAACTCCCACTGCATTATGTCAGGACAGATGTGGAGGTTCAGACTGACCAGCAGCTCTGGAACCAGGAGAGGACCTCCAGTTTGAAGCAGGAACAAGCAGAACCTTTACAGGAGGGACCAGAACCTCCACAGATGAAAGTGGAGCAGGATGAGCCAGAACCTTTGCAGATTGTAGAACAAGAGGAGCTCTGCATCAGTCAGGATGAAGAGCAGTGTGTACTGAAGCAGGAGACGGTGACCTCCCTTGTGACTCCTGCTGGTGAGGAAAGAGACCACGATGAAGCAGAACCAGACAGACACCAACTCCTTTTGTCACTGCTTCCTGAGGCTGAGATCAGAGCTGCTGCTGCTCCGGGGTCAACAGGTGAGGGGGGGGGGGGGGGGGTGCTATGTTTGTTTTCCTTACTGTGATGTCACAATAAGGGACTTCTTGAAACTGCTCATTTTAGGCAAATCAGCTTTATTTTAGGGCTGGATCGGGAGCGATCAAGTCTGCAGTTAGAGCCTCGAGGCTCCTAACTGGAGCAAACGGAAGAGCTCACATCACTCCTATTCTGACGTCTCTGCACTGGTTACTCGTTAACTTTAGAGTTAATTTTAGAATCCTGACTATATTTTAAGTTTGGATCTACCGCTGGTGCCGCGGTAAAAAAACAAAACTGCATTCCACTATAATTGGTTATGGCTTGCTTCTTCAATGAATCATAATCATATTTCGATACATTGATTGTAATGTTTTGTAAGTGGTCACAATTAGTAAGTAAACCAACCAAATTATAAGTAAAACACATAATTTCTTGCCCAAAATTCCCATGATGCAATGCAAGAAACATTAGCATACTGAAATATGAATGACTCATGACTGGAACATACAGGGAGTGCAGAATTATTAGGCAAATGAGTATTTTGTCCACATCATCCTCTTCATGCATGTTGTCTTACTCCAAGCTGTATAGGCTCAGAAGCCTACTACCAATTAAGCATATTAGGTGATGTGCATCTCTGTGATGAGAAGGGGTGTGGTCTAACGACATCAACACCCTACGTATATCAGGTGTGCATAATTATTAGGTAACTTCCTTTCCTTTGGCAAAATGGGTCAAAAGAAGGACTTGACAGGCTCAGAAAAGTCAAAAACAGTGAGATATCCTGCAGAGGGATGCAGCAGTCTCAAAATTGCAAAGCTTCTGAAGCGTAATCATCGAACAATCAAGCGTTTCATTCAAAATAGTCAACAGGGTCGCAAGAAGCGTGTGGACAAACCAAGGCGCAAAATAACTGCCCATGAACTGAGAAAAGTCAAGCGTGCAGCTGCCAAGATGCCACTTGCCACCAGTTTGGCCATATTTCAGAGCTGCAACATCACTGGAGTGCCCAAAAGCACAAGGTGTGCAATACTCAGAGACATGGCCAAGGTAAGAAAGGCTGAAAGACGACCACCACTGAACAAGACACACAAGCTTAAACGTCAAGACTGGGCCAAAAAATATCTCAAGACTGATTTTTCTAAGGTTTTATGGACTGATGAAATGAGAGTGAGTCTTGATGGGCCAGATGGATGGGCCCGTGGCTGGATTGGTAAAGGGCAGAGAGCTCCAGTCCGACTCAGACGCCAGCAAGGTGGAGGTGGAGTACTGGTTTGGGCTGGTATCATCAAAGATGAGCTTGTGGGGCCTTTTCGGGTTGAGGATGGAGTCAAGCCCAACTCCCAGTCCTACTGCCAGTTTCTGGAAGACACCTTCAAGCAGTGGTACAGGAAGAAGTCTGCATCCTTCAAGAAAAACATGATGTTCATGCAGGACAATGCTCCATCACACGCGTCCAAGTACTCCACAGCGTGGCTGGCAAGAAAGGGTATAAAAGAAGAAAAACTAATGACATGGCCTCCTTGTTCACCTGATCTGAACCCCACTGAGAACCTGTGGTCCATCATCATATGTGAGATTTACAAGGAGGGAAAACGGTACACCTCTCTGAACAGTGTCTGGGAGGCTGTGGTTGCTGCTGCACGCAATGTTGATGGTGAACTGATCAAAACACTGACAGAATCCATGGATGGCAGGCTTTTGAGTGTCCTTGCAAAGAAAGGTGGCTATATTGGTCGCTGCTTTGTTTTTGTATTGTTTTTGAATGTCAGAAATGTATATTTGGGAATGTGGAGATGTTATATTGGTTTCACTGGTAAAAAATAAATAATTGAAATGGATATATATTTGTTTTTTGTTAAGTTGCCTAATAATTATGCACATTAATAGTCACCTTCACACACAGATATCCCCCTAAAATAGCTAAAACTAAAAACTACTTTCAAAAACATTCAGCTTTGATATTAATGAGTTTTTTGGGTTCATTGAGAACATGGTTGTTGTTCAATAATAAAATTATTCCTCAAAAATACAACTCGCCTAATAATTCTGCACTCCCTGTAATAGAGTTGTCACGGTGTGAAAATGTAACCTCGCGGTTATTGTGACCAAAGTGATCATGGTTTTCATTATTATCGCGGTATTTTTTTTAACGTGTTACATTTTCTGACAACTAACTAAACCCTCTATATCAGGAAAATAATGTCATCAGTTTGTGTCTACAATTTGTTATTTTGCAATCTAGTTGTTTGTTTACATTTTTCCCCTTTGTCTTTAAAATACCAGCATTTTCCCATAACTTCTTATTTTTTGTCCATTTGATGTCATCATTTTAAAAACATGAGATCAGATTATACTTATTACTCAATTAGCATTCTAATCTCCCTTTCCCATATCTGGGTCGGTAGCGGGATGGTGCCTGTGCTTGGGTTAGCCACGGTCACCGACCACCTTTTCAAACTTTTCTCTACTTACCTTCTCCTTGTCGCCTTGCTTCTGTCCGCGATCCTCTTTGGTAGTGTCCCGGCTACCGTCTACCAGACTCTTGTCCTTCCGTTTGTCCGCAATCGCCCAAGATGCACCGAATAATTACCTCCATGTCTGTTTACGTGAGCAGCGCGCTGGCCCGGAGCCAAACGCTTATTCCTACCTGAACGCCTCCAGTGATGTTTATCTGATCCCGGGAAAACATCGGAGGAAAAGGGGTAAACGAGCAGGAGTCCAGGTGAGATTAAGACTTCTCTCAAAGTGTGGTTTATCTCAGTGCTGATTGGCTCGAATAGAATTCTCACGGGGTGGAGTTATTTGCATGCAAGAGGCATGGGCGGCTCCAGTAAATTTTATCAGCAGTTGCTGTACAGTTGTTCGTCGGTGTTTGGGGTTGCTGCCCCCTGTCGGTGCGCCCTGAAAAGCGCGGGGGTGGGGGTGGTGGGGGGCAAAACTCTAGAGAAACCAGTAAATCTGACCCTAGCCAATCAGCATCAAGATTCACGATATTGGCCCAACTCTGCCTTGCCAGGTACCTCAATGGAGCATGGACTAAAAATAAGGGAGAAAGTACAGGAAAAATACCGAACCATGCCTGTGGAAACTAGTCGGGCCGATCTGCCCCAGTATGAGTTACTCCGACTCTCTGGGAGCTGGTGGGATTTCAGGTCACGTTGTACAGGGTAGCATGAATTAAGGTTTGTAAGGATGAAGCAGGAGTTGAGAGGTTTTTTTCCTCTATACTCCTTCATTGCCTGATCATAAGACACTTTGTGAGCAGTCTTCAAATTATTGACTACATTTGTAATTTTGCTCTGCGGTGCAGCTACAACAGCGTAGCAATGTTTACACACCATTGTTACTTGATCCAGGTCTGACTCCTCGAACCCGTGATGTTTCTACATCACCGAATTCGTTTTAACTATTTTCCACGAACATCTTTCATTTTGCATCCATTATCCTCTCCTCAAAACAACTTCTGCCAAGTATTCCTCAAGTCTTCTCACTTGTTTGAGACGTGTTTGCAGCTCGCACTAAAATGGAAAGTGGTTGGAGCTGTGAGAGCTGCGCTTGATTTGCCACTCAGAGCAGCGCAAGAGTAAGCATGAGGGAGGAGCTAACAATCGGCTCAGTCAGTTTTAATGATCATTTAAAACCCAGATCGTAATTAAGATAAAAATTTGAATTATTGAGATGCATTTTAGATGCATCAGATGATTACAACTTAGTGGTGTATATATAGTATATATATATAGTATATATATATACTATATATATATATATATGTGTGTATATATATATTAGGGCTGCAGCTATCGAATATTTTTGTAATCGAGTACTCTATCGAATATTTTTTTCGATTATTCGAGTACTCTAATAAATTACCCTTTTGTGTTTGTAAACCATTATATCAAATAGCATGTTATAATTATGAAAGACCTCTTAAAATGAGCAAGCAGTTGCCAGTTATTCTTCAAGTTTTATTCAAAATTAGTTTGCAAAACTTCAGCACTTCAACTTTGCTTCACAGTAAACAAATGCCTGTGCAAAAAATAAGTACACAACCCTGAGCCGATTTTCCCCTCGTGCGAGAATCTGCTAGCCTGCAAGCCAGAGGATAACTGTTGAAGTAGCGCTGCGGGCGGCTGCGGCCCAAACAGAACCAGAACCGCTCACGGCGCATGCGCAAACAGCTCGCCGGCTGTTTCCCTATTAACACACGTCCGTTTTAATTTCTACACTTTTTTTCTCACACAATAACAAGGATTGTCGAGAAAGCATGTTTGCCGTGCTTTTGTCAAATTATACTGATCACAAAACATTTATTTACTTTCTTTCGTTTTCCTCTCATAAATACCAGTCCTCCTGCAGCAATCCCGAGGGACAACAAATATCAATAACAACACAGTAAAAGTCCGACGTTTTGTGTAAAAATGCTATTTTTTTAGCACATTTTAAGTCTAACGTGTTGCTACCAGACGTACGGTGTGAGCTGAAACTTGAGTGCTACAAACGAAAAAGTCGCACAGTGTCCGCAGAATATATAGCAATACAGGCTAAAATGCATTATCTTGTAGAGGCTCCGAGTCCGCTTGCAGAAGTGACATTTACAGGTGCTGCAGCACGGAGGATGTGGTGTTGTGGTAGGCTAAATCCATTTTACAGTATTTTCACTGGACTACGTTTTCCACCTTACGACGTGAAAAATGGTCTCACGTCTTGACATTTTCTGTCTTTTTCGACCTCCACCGGGGTCCACGTTGTCTGCCATAGCTTAAGAGAAAGTTAAGTTACATTCCCTACTCGCGTGTGCGTTTCAGTCCAGTGGGCATGTGCGTCACTTATTTCAGTCCGGGTGAAACATGACCACGGGCGACTGCAAAGCCATGAATTAATTAAATATGAATTAAACGAATCCTCGAGGCAGAGAATTTGACTCGAGGATTTTTTGTACTCGAATTATTCGAGGTACTCGAGGAATCGTTTCAGCCCTAATATATATATTCCTTTT